GAGTAGCAGAATGTATTTTGGGGTGTAATTTTTGGTATTTACATGTTATGTGTTAGAAATATCTTATAAATGATTATACAACAACCACCCTCCAAATAATTATTTACTTTTATATATTATATATATAATTCCCCCACACTCCAAACAACACCTTCCCCTGAAGATGTATAAATCATATAATAGTGAACAAAGTGTTAATAAACCTAATATCCAAAATTTAGCAAAAAAAATCCCTCAAAGTCATTATCACCAAAAAAGTAATTATCACCAAAAAAGTAATCAATGTCCACTACAAACAAAAATAATAGTCCACTCCAAAAAGATGAACAGCACTTCTTTCAACGCATCCACCTCAAAAAAAGAAAATTTATATAGTGCATTACCCTTTTTTTTATAAATCAATACACTTTCTATAGATTATATATAAATCATATAGTGACTTAGTGAACTAAGTGAAAAATCAGTGAAAAAAAGTGAAAAACCGTGAGTAGTCAGTGAAAATAAATATATAACATTCCTTTGTGCCACAGCAAAATCCACAAAACACCTCCAAACGGTGTACACTTCTATTTAAGTCAGGGTACCCTTACCAACCATCCACATAACATATGCCTATCTCACTCCAGGAACTGAACGGGCCAGATCTCCTGTGGATCAAAGGTATATCCTAATACCACGACACCCTCTAGAATCCTCAGGTACTCTGCTCTCAATGTCTCCAAGAAAGCAAATAGACCAACATAGTATAATACCGCCAGGCTAATTAACAATATATACTTTATTCACAAGCTCCTCACATTTATATAATAGTAAAATCGCTCTAAAGCAGTGGAAGGAACCTCACAGCCATCCGGAACAGCGTCCAGGAACTCCTGCACGTTCGTTTCCCATCTCAAAAATGGCCGCCGGTCGACTTCCGGTTCCGGTAAAACGTCTTGACGTCACTCTCCCTTGACGCGTTTCGTCATTGACTTAATCATGATTTAAGTCAATGACGAAACACGTCAAGGGAGAGTGACGTCAAGACGTTTTACCGAAACCGGAAGTCGACCGGCGGCCATTTTTGAGAAGGGAAACGAACGTGCAGGAGTTCCTGGACGCTGTTCCGGATGGCTGTGAGGTTCCTTCCACTGATTTAGAGTGATTTTTACTATTATATAAATGTGAGCAGCTTGTGAATAAAGTATATATTGTTAATTAGCCTGGCGGTATTATACTATGTTGGTCTATTTGCTTTCTTGGAGACATTGAGAGCAGAGTACCTGAGGATTCTAGAGGGTGTCGTGGTATCAGGATATACCTTTGATCCACAGGAGATCTGGCCCGTACAGTTCCTGGAGTGAGATAGGCATATGTTATGTGGATGGTTGGTAAGGGTACCCTGACTTAAATAGAAGTGTACACCGTTTGGAGGTGTTTTGTGGATTTTGCTGTGGCACAAAGGAATGTTATATATTTATTTTCACTGACTACTCACGGTTTTTCACTTTTTTTTCACTGATTTTTCACTTAGTTCACTAAGTCACTATATGATTTATATATAATCTATAGAAAGTGTATTGATTTATAAAAAAAAGGGTAATGCACTATATAAATTTTCTTTTTTTTGAGGTGGATGCGTTGAAAGAAGTGCTGTTCATCTTTTTGGAGTGGACTATTATTTTTGTTTGTAGTGGACATTGATTACTTTTTTGGTGATAATTACTTTTTTGGTGATAATGACTTTGAGGGATTTTTTTTTTTGCTAAATTTTGGATATTAGGTTTATTAACACTTTGTTCACTATTATATGATTTATACATCTTCAGGGGAAGGTGTTGTTTGGAGTGTGGGGGAATATATATATATATATATAAAGTAAATAATTATTTGGAGGGTGGTTGTTGTATAATCATTTATAAGATATTTCTAACACATAACATGTAAATACCAAAAATTACACCCCAAAATACATTCTGCTACTCCTCCTGAGTATGAGGATACCACATGTGTAAGACTTTTCCACAGCCTGGCCACATACTGAGGCCCAACATCCAAGTAGGACCTACAGGCGTTCTGGAGGCATACAGTACATGACACATCTCATTTCCGGACTACCTATCACAATTTTGAAGGCACTGGAGCACTTTATTCACTATTATATGATATCTTATAAATGGACAAGTTTGTGTAAAAAAAAAAATACATTTTCTTTCCACATTTTCTGAAAACTTGTGGAAAAAAAATGACATGTTCAAAAGACTTATTATGCCTCGTAGAATGTACATTGGGGTGTTTGCTTTCCAAAATGGAGTTATTTTGTGTGTAATTCCATTGTCCTGGTGCTTCAGGGCCTTCAAAATTGTGATAGGTAGTCAGGAAATAAGATGTGTAATTTATGCCTCCAGAACGCCTGTAGGTGCTACTTGGATTTTGGGCCTCAGTATGTGGCCAGGCTGTGGATCTTACACATGTGGTATCCCCATACTCAGGAGGAGCAGCAGAATGTATTTTGGGGTGAAGCTGCAAGTATGCATATGCTGTGTGAGAGGAATAACTTGATAATATAACAAGTGTGTGGAAAAAAAAAAACATTTTATTTACTTTTTTCATTTTACAAAGAGTTGTGGGAAAAAATGACAGGTTCAAAAAACTCACCATGCATCTTACTAAATACCCTGGAATGTCTACTTTCCAAAAAGAGGTAATTTGGGGTGTATTTGTACTGTCATGGCTTGTTAGTGACTCAAGAAATGAGATAGGCCTTAAGTACATCAGGTTTGATCAGGTGTGTTCAATTTTCAATGATTGGTACCATAGCTTGTATACTCTATAACTTCCACACAGACCAAATAATACACACTGATTGGGATTATGTTTACCAAAGCAATGTAGCAGTATACATTTTGGCCCAAATGTATGTAGAAAATTACTTATTTGCTAAATTTTATAACAGAAATGAAGAAAAATGCGTTTTTTGTTTTCTTTCAAATTTTTCGGTCTGTTTTGATTTACAGCGCAAAAAATAAAAAAACCCACTGCTAATTAAATACCACCAAAATAAATCTCTATTTGTGTGAAAAAAAGGACAAAAAAATTCATTTGGGTACAGTGTTGAATGACTGAGTAATTATCAAAGTGTGAGAGTGCTGAAAGCTGAAAATTGGTCTGGGCAGGAAGGGGGTAAAAGTGCTCAGTACAGAGGTGGTTAAGCAAGTAAAGATTGTACTATTTCAAATTAGAAAACAATATTCTATAAGCACTGGCTAAATTATCAGAGCATATGTCTTTATAGACCAGTGTATGTGCTGAAAAAGGCAGTTAAGATGGATAAACTAACCTTGGAATACACAAATTAAAGCATTATTAACGGTTCTGAAGGTTGCGCCACAAATCCTGTCATGCAATCCAAGTCCAAGCAATAGACATATCATGTCGGATCGCTGTGGTCTGAAAGACATATCAGATTTGGATTTTGCAGGACAGAAATAAGTATATTGAAAGTATATTAATTTTCTTCTAATTGTGAATTTTTGGCCACAGTGGTGGGTAAGTTGCATGTGTCTACGTATGTATATATGTATACAGTATATACCAGGCCACCTTGGCAGTGTGGAATCCAATCTGGGCTCTGCTTCCCACTGTTAACCATCAGCAAGTGGGATAAAGAAGGAAGGGCTGGAGCAATAGGAGGCTCTGGCCTGAGACCCAGGAAAGCTACCTGAGAGAGAGCTACATATGAAAATCACTGTGTAAGAGAAAGAAAGGTTTACAAAACACTTGTTTTTCTTGGTGAATCGGAGAAGCCCTACACCTGTCAGAAAGATTTGTTCTGTTTGTTTTATTTGCAACCTGTTCAAATAAAACTGACTGCATGTCAGACTTGGGGAGTTCAGTTGAGATAGCAGCAACATCTACCCTGGACAATGCAAAGCATCATCATAACAACCTCTGAAGTTTGTATGTACTCTCATTGTAGAAAGGTCTGATAATGGTTTTAATGCAGTGTATGAAATATTGATAAACTTATTCCTCTTAGTAGTTCATAATTTTGTCATTAGTAATGCTTTGCAAATGTAAGACTATAAACAATTAATAACCTGTACTAGGTTGTGTAAATAAATTAATGCGGTAAAGAACAGGTCAAGTATTTCAACATTTTGATGTTGCTTTTGCTCATTTGCATACTTTTTGTACATCACCTAAACATCACTTAAATTCACACCAGGCACTGATGATTGCTTACATCTACATTTGACAAATATTTATAGACATCTAAGTTCCCCCATGGCAACACATAGAATATTGTACAACTACCATAGTAGAAATTGACTGAAAAAGTTATTTTTTTCTTCAACTTTGAATGGGGATAGGATAGAACCGTGGTTAGGTTTTTAATGTTGTCTGTGTGCCTTGGGTTAGAACATTTTTTACTTACTTTCTTTCGCACGTGGCAACAGCATTTGGTCTTCCTCATGATACTAAAATAATTGAGTTCATTTTCTCTCACTTTCTGTCATCAAAACAAAGAGGGAATGCTCCCCAACAATAACCTAGACCACAATGTAATTTCTAAAAGTCACTGTAACCCTATTACCATCTTATGAAAATGGCAGTGGATCTTGGTACATTAATAACTCAAGTAAGAATGGGCAAATCTATGCCCCACCACTTTTCTCAGGGAAATATCTAACTGTCTAGGGGCAGCTTAAAGAGACTCTTCATGGAAAACTAACAGTGTCTTTTAGAGCCCACCCCAGACCCATTTTTACTCTCCTTCCCTACGCTCTAAGCTATAAGCTATGCTATAAGCTTTATATCAGATGGTGTTAAAGACTACATAGGGCTGATAATGTGACAGTGTTGATGCCTAGACATTGGCTAGTAGCCCACAGAACTGTGTCATAGGCAACAGGGGAGTAAAGGTGGGTATTAATAAATAAGGACTTTAATCACTTGCCAACCGCACTATAGCTGAATGATGGCTACAACGCGGTTTTACAGTTCTGTGAGGGCGTCATATGATGTCCTTCCAGAACGCGCCATCCTGTGCGTCCCCAGCGGCGCGCACCCGGCAATCTCCATGATTGCTGTGTCCTACGGACACAGCTGATCACGTGATGAGGTAAAAGGACAATCACAGCGGCCTTTTACCAGGTGATCAGCTGTGTCCAATGACACAGCAGATCACCGAGTAAATACATTTGCTGGTTATCGGCTGCACTTTCTGCCGATAACCGGCAACTGTCACAGAGCAGATCGGCACTGATCATCAGGGCACTGATGATCAATGCCCTGATGATCAGTGCCTAGCAATGCCGCCCAGCAGTGCCACCCATCAGTGCCACCCATCAGTGTTTCCCAGCATTGCCACCTAGCAATGCCGCCAGTCAGCGCCACCTATCAGTGCCCATCAGTGCCACCTATCAGTGCCCATCATTGCTGCATATCAGTGCAGCATCATCAGTGCCTCCTCATCAATGCCCACCAGTGCCGCATCAGTGCCACCTCATCAGTGCAGCCTATCAGTGCCCATCAGTGCTTCCTATCCATTCCACCTCATCGGTGACCATCAGTTCCCATCAGTGCTGCGTATCAGTGAAGCCTCATTAACACACATCAGTGAAGGAGAAAAATTACCTGTTTGCAAAATTTTATAATAGAAACAAAGAAAAACTTTTTTGCATTTTTTTGTTTGTAGTGCAAAAACTAAAACATCCCGTGGTGATTAAATACCACCAAAAGAAAACTCTATTTGTGTGAAAAAAATTATAAAAATTTCATATGGGTACAGTGTTGCATAATTGTGCAATTGTCTTTCAAAGTGTGAGAGCACGGAAAGCTGAAATTAACCTGGGCACGAAGGGGGTAAAAGTGCCCAGTAGGCAAGTGGTTAAAGACAATTTTCCCTTTGTTCATTAAGGTCATGCTTGAAGCTGTGGAATGTTTAACCTCTCTTTAGCCATAATCTCATAGGCAGCACATTTATATCAGTGTGCTACAAATTAGCTGATTTCCAGACTGTGGTTTAAATGCTCGAGCGAATCGAACTAGGCGAACCGGAATTCGAGTCGAATTTCAGGAAATATTCGATTCGTGTCGAAACCGAAATTTTGCCTACTTCGGGTGCGCGAATCGAACATTTCCCGATCAGCCGGCAAAAGTGTCCCTGCAGTGAGCTCCGCTATTTCTGACAGTTCTCTGACAGAAGGAACACATGTTTAGCGGTTGAAACATTGTATCTATTAGTTTACATTTAGGATACAGATGTTTCAACCACTGTACATGTGAAGAAGTTGTGAGAGAACTGTCAGAAATAGAGGAACTCTGCACATACACTTTTTGCCGGCTTGGAATTATTCTTCTTTTCATCCTACCTTCTTCTTCTTCATCCTCAGAAGAAGAGGATGAGGATGAGGATGAAGAAGAAGAAGAAGAAGAAGAAGAAGAAGAAGAAGAAGAAGAAGAAGAAGTAGGATGAAAAGAAGAATAATTCCAAGCCGGCAAAAAGTGTATGTGCAGAGTTCCTCTATTTCTGACAGTTCTCTCACAGCTTCTTCACATGTACAGCGGTTGAAACATCTGTATCCTAAATGGAAACTAATAGATACAATTTGTATCTATTAGTTTCCATTTAGGATACAGATATTTCAACCGCTGTACATGTGAAGAAGCTGTGAGAGAACTGTCAGAAATAGAGGAACTCTGCACATACACTTTTTGCCGGCATGGAATTATTCTTCTTTTCATTTACTTCTTCTTCTTCTTCTTTTCTTCATCCTTCTTGCCTCTTCCTCATCCTCATCTTCTGAGGATGAGGATGAAGAAGAAGAAGAAGAAGAAGTAGGATGAAAAGAAGAATAATTCCAAGCCGGCAAAAAGTGTATGTGCAGAGTTCCTCTATTCTGCAGATACACTTAGAGGAGCTCTGCAGATACACTTAAGGAGCTCTGCACATACACTTTTTGCCGGCTTGGAATTAATCTTATTTTCATCCTACTTCTTCTTTTCTTCTTCTTCTTCAACTTCTTACATCCTCATCCTCATCCTCAGAAGAAGAAGAGGATGAGGATGAGGATGAAGAAGAAGAAGAAGGTTGTAGGATGAAAATAAGAATAATTCCAAACGGGAGTAAAAAAAAAGTGTATGTGCAGAGCTCCTCTAAGGTGTATCTGCAGAGCTCCTCTAAGTGTATCTGCAGTGATCGCAACATTAGAGGAACTCTGCACATACACTTTTTTTGCCGGAAAACCGCGCTGTATGGAGTGAATTGTCTCAGAACTGTCAGAAATAGACTATTTATGACAGTTCTAACATGGACATTCACTGCATACAGCTGTTTTAACCGCTGTATGGAGGGAATTGTCATGGAACTGTCAGAAAATAGAAATAAGACTATTAATGACAAGTTGTGGGACTGTCCTTCCATGCAGCGGTTGAAACAATTGTATGTATTTGTTCCATAAATGGATCCATTTATGGAAAACAAATACATACAATGTTTCAACCGCTGTATGGAAGGACAGTCCCACAACTGTCATTAAGTCTATTTCTGACAGTTCCATGACATTCCCTCCATACAGCGGTTTTAAAACAGCTGTATGGAGTGAATGTCCCATTAGCTGTCTAAACAAAATAGACTATTTATTGACAGTTCTGGGACATTCACTCCATACAGCTGTTTTAACCGCTGTATGGAGGGAATGTCATAATGAACTGTCAGAATAGGGTTATTAATGACAGTTCTGGGGACTGTCCTTCAATGCAGCGGTTGAAACATTGTATGTATTTGTTTCCATAAAATGGATCCATTTATGGAAACAATACATACTAAATGTTTCAACCGCTGCATGGAAAAGGACAGTCCCAAAACTGTCATTTTAATAGTCTATTTTTGACAGTTTCCATGACTTATTCCCCTCCATACAGCGGGTTAAAACAGCTGTATGGAGTGAATGTCCCAGATCTATCAGAAATAGGACTATTTATGCCAGTTCTGGGACATTCACTCCATACAGCTGTTTTAACCGGGTATTATGGGGGAATGTCATGGAAAATAGACACAGAAATAGGACTATTTAATGACAGTTCTGGGGCTGTCCTTCAATGCAGCGGTTGAAACATTGTATGTATTTGTTTCCATAAATGGATCTCATTTATGGAAACAAATTACATACAATGTTTCAACCGCTCTGTATGGAAGGACAGTTCCAAAAAACTGTTATTAATAGTCTATTTCTGACAGTTCCATGACATTCCCTCCATACAGCGGTTTTAAAACAGCTGTATGGAGTGAATGTCCCAGATCTGTCAGGGAGGGAAATAGGACTATTTATGACAGTTCTGGGACATTCACTCCATACAGCTGTTTTAACCGCTGTATGGCGGGAATGTCATGGAACTGTCAGAAATAGACTCTATTAATGACAGTTCTGGGGACTGTCCTTCCATGCAGCGGTTGAAACATTGTATGTATTGTGTTTCCATAAATGGATTCATTTCATTGGAAACATTAAATACATACAATGTTTCAATCCCGCATGCATTGGAAGGACAGTCCCAGAACTGTCATTAATAGTCTATTTCCTGACAGTTCCATGACATTCCCTCCATACAGCGGTTAAAACAGCTGTATGGAGTGAATGTCCCAGATCTATCAGAAATAGACTATTTATGACTGTTCTGGGGACATTCACTGCATACAGCTGTTTTAAACAAAACAACAAAAAAAAAAAAAACCGTTGTATGGAGGGAATGTCATGGAAATGACACAGAAATAGACTTATTAATGACAGTTCTGGGACTGTCCTTCAATGCAGCGGTTGAAACATTGTATGTATTTGTTTCCATAAATGGATCCATTTATGGAAACAAATACATACAATGTTTCAACCGCTGCATGGAAGGACAGTCCCAGAACTCATTATTAATAGTCTATTTCTGACAGTTCCATGACATTCCCTCCATGTTACAGCGGTTAAACAGCTGTATGGAGTGAATGTCCCAGAACTGTCATAAATAGTCTATTTCTGACAGATCTGGGACATTCACTCCATACAGCTGTTTTAACCGCTGTATGGGAGGGAATGTCATGGAACTGTCAGAAATACCGGGACTATTTTAATGACAGGTATTGGAGTCCTTCTTAGTTTGGGAACTGTCCTTCCATGCAGCGGTTGAAACATTGTATGTATTTGTTCCATAAAAAGTGATCCATTTATGGAAACAAAGTACATACAATGTTTCACCGCTGCATGGCAGAAGGACAGTCCCGCAGGAACTGTCATTTAATAGTCTATTTCTGACAGTTCCATGACATTCCCTCCATACAGCGGTTTTTTAAAACAGCTGTATGGGTGAATGTCCCAGATCTATCAGAAATAGACTATTTATGACAGTTTCTGGGACATTCACTCCATACAGCTGTTTTAAACCGTTGTTATGGAGGGAATGTCATGGGAAAATAGACACAGAAATATAGACTATTAATGACAGTTCTGGGGACTGTCCTTCATTGGCAGCGGTTGAAACATTGTATGTATTTGTTTCCCCATAAATTGGGATCCATTTATGGAAACAAATACATACAATGTTTTTCAACCGCTGCATGGAAGGACAGTCCCACGGAACTGTCATTAATAGTCTATTTCTGACAGTTCCATGACATTCCCTCCATACAGCGGTTAAAAAAACAGCTGTATGGAGTGAATGTCCAGAACTGTCAGGGAAAAATAGTCTATTTCTGACAGTTCTGGGACATTCACTCCATACAGCTGTTTTAACCGCTGTATGGAGGGAATGTCATGGAACTGTCAGAAATAGACTATTAATGACAGTTGTGGGACTGTCCTTCCATGCAGCGGTTGAAACATTGTATGTATTTGTTTCCATAAATGGATCCATTTATGGAAACAAAATACATACAATGTTTCAACCGCTGCATGGTAAAGGACAGTCCCCACAACTGTCATTATATAGTCTATTTCTGACAGTTCCATGACATTCCCTCCATACAGCGGTTTAAAAAGCTGTATGGAGTGAATGTCCCAGATCTGTCAGAAATAGACTATTTATGACAGTTCTGGGATCATTCACTGCATACAGCTGTTTTAACCGCTGTATGGAGGGAATGTCATGGAACTGTCAGAAAATAGACTATTAATGACAGTTGTGGGACTGTACCCCTTCAATTGCAGCGGTTGAAACATTGTATGTATTTGTTTCCATAAATGGATCCATTTATGGAAAACAAATTAAATACATACAATGTTTTCAACCGCTGCATGGAAGGACAGTCCCACAACTGTCATTAATAGTCTATTTCTGACAGTTCCATGACATTCCCTCCATACACAGCGGTTAAAACAGCTGTATGGAGTGAATGTCCCAGATCTATCAGAAAATAGACTATTTAGACAGTTCTGGGACATTCACTCCATACAGCTGTTTTAACCGTTGTATGGAGGGAATGTCATGGAAAATAGACACAGAAATAGACTATTAATGACAGTTCTGGGACTGTCCTTCAATGCAGCGGTTGGAAACATTGTATGTATTTGTTTCCATAAATGGATCCATTTATGGAAACAAATACATACAAT